GCGGTTTTGCTGGAATAGCTAAAGCTATCAATGATGCTAAAATTGGTAGAAAACTTATTAGATGAATACATTTAAAACCATACAAAAAAGGGCTTGGATTATACTTAAGACCAACAAACCTATAAGCTTGCTACCCAAAAGAGCATTAATAGATGTAGATGTAAAGGATTTTGGGAAAAATATTTACATTATTTTCGTGGAGTTTTTATAAGATAATCTTCCTAAAACCAAACCATGAAAGCGTGAATGCGGAATTATAAATTTGGTACTCATTGCGTAGCATATTATAAAAATTTAAATGATATCAAATATTTTGATAGTTTAGGGAATTTAAAACCACTCATAGAAGTCATACAATATTTAGGTGATAAACTTTCATACAGCTATAACGTATATGAAAAATTCAATACATATAATTTGTGTTTTCTTATTTAATACAAAATATTGTAAAAATTTAATTCAAAATATTGTAAACCCACACTGGTATTCACCAAGGATTTTCTCGTGGAATGGCTTTAATCTATTACAGATAATATTGGACAATATTTTGTACAGAGTATCCAAAAACATAATGCCTCTGTAGTTTTGGCACAGGATTTTGTCGCCTTTTTTTATGTATGGGAACAAGTAGTGTCCATTCGTCAGGTATTCTTTCATTGCACCATATACTGCAGATCAGAGTATGTATGTTATTTAACAACACTTCACCACCACCTCTGACAAGCTCAATCGCGATTCCGCTCTTTCTTGGGGTCCTATTACTTTTCAATTTGTTTACCGCTTCCTGCAACTCGTCAATCGTTGGTAGGTCTATAACTGGATCCAGAGGTAAATTGTCGTACATGTTTTCTTCATTAGCATTGTAACCTTCATTTAATGTTTTCTGAAAATTCTCGACCCACCTATCCATAACCTTACTTTCTTCAGTTATGATATTACCGTCTAAATCCTGGCAAATATTAAACTTGTCTTGATAACCTTTGGTTTGGTATCTGGTCCTTCTATAAACTTCCCTGATATTGCCTTCTAAGTGTGCCTCTTGAATTTTTTCCACCTATTTGATGATCATTATTTTATTTTTCTTACGGCATAGTTTGGTAGCATATTTTCGCTTTTGATTATAGTTTTCGTGGTTTGATCTTGAGTTTCTCTTTAACATTTTTTGGCTTGCTTTATTTTTAATTTCAATAGCTAACTTACATTCATTGTCAAACCAACCAATGTTTGTTTGAATCGGTTTTCTTCCTACAATTTCGTCGGCTACTGTGTTAATGGTATTTTCCATTTGTTTCCACTCTCTGTTCACAGATTCACTCTCTTGGGCGTTGCTGTTGGTATTTAATATCTCGTTAATTCTGCCTTGAAACAATTCTTGAATTTCAGAATTTTTTAATTTCTCGGTGTCGCATTTAATTCTTTTAGCGCCTCTTTGTTTCGCAATATTTGGAATTCTCTGTCGAAGAACAAGCTTTATCAGGAAGTTTTCACTGTCACAGTTTGCACCTGACACTTAAAATGGAGGACGCTCTTCTCGAGGAGATCAATACGTGATCAAATTTGATTAACCACCCGTGAACCTGGAGCCTTCCATATTCCCTTATATATGGCTTTTTCATTCAAAACAAGCGCTTTTGTTTTTAATGCAGCTTCACTGGCTACGTGGCACAGGCGTAAACCATTCTCACTCGTGATGTTATTTTGAGAATGTTTACCAGCAACTTCCTGTATAAATTCCTCTTTCCCAATTTTCGTATTAAAATCGTCCAAGAGGTATAGGATTGTCGTACGACCCTGCCTTTTCACATAATGTACTTAGATTATCGTAAAAGATATCTTTTTCCTGTTCTTCATCATCTTCTGTTATAGCATACGCACATATAATTGTAATATTACAGAATTTTGCCTTCAGCCTCAGTGTGCATAGCCTACTATTAAAAGGTGTAAACCCTAATACACTATCCTTTAGTTTTTTATTTATGATGAGTCCTGTGCCGTACATTCCTCTTGTATTTTCATCAGTGCGATTACACCTGAAACATAATCAAAATGATAATATATAATAGCTTCGGTAATCAGTCATTATTCAATAGTACATCAGCGTTGAGGCATAGCAGACAAACATTAATAAAATCAACAGATTTTAAACAAGCACTAACAGCAGGCAATCAACAATACTTAAAATCAATCGGATTCAAATTGAAGAAAAATTAAAATGGATAATCTAATCCTGTAACCAATGAGGGCATAACAAGTGCTCAGTGGCATACATATTTACACTTTTTGAATTCATTTAACAAAAACGATATTATAAGAATACAAATACGGAATCAAAATTTGAATATCTTGTTACCCACTAGCATACTTTATATTGAAGACACTCTTACAAAAGCTGACAGAGCTGAAACTTCAAGCACAAAATTTACCAACAATGCAATAACATTTTTATTCGATGAATATGAATTAAATAGTAAAGAAATTGGTAATAATCGAAATATAGGCATAACATGTTGTCATGTTTGAAAAATTACATTTCACTTAATAGAAATGAAAGTCACTTGTTGGTCACCTGAAAAATTAATTAAATCGGGAAGTTTATTCTTCAACTATTGTATTCCATTACGGAAACTTTTGGAATTTGCTAAAGATTATAAAATAATTATACCTAATGCAAAGCGTGAATTGATCTTAATACGTTCACGAACTGATAATAATTTTTTAACTTGCATTGAACCTGCTGAAGTTTCTGTAGCACCAACAATTCAACTATCTAAAGTTCAATGGAAAGTACAGCATATAAATTTGGCAGATTCATATAAGTTAAATTTATACACCCATATTACAAATAACGCTAAAATGATTTTATTTTTAGAAATTGGGAATTATATGCGTGTCCTACTTTACCACAAGGTACCAATTGTCATGTTTGGAATGTAAAAACAACAACCCAACTAGAAAAGCCACACTTCATTATTTTCGCTCTTCAATCAAATAAGTTGAATCAACTTGATTAAAATTCATCAAAATTTGATCATTGTAAAATAACAGATTTAATTTTACCTCAACTCAGAATGTTACCCGTATGAGAATATGAATTTTTGATTTGAAGAACATCATTATAGTACTGCTTATAAAGCCTGTACTAATTTCCGATCCACTTATTACAATTACAATATAATAGAACCTTTATTATCGTGGAGCCAATTTTAAGAACAAGCTGCAATATTTGTAATAGATACACGGTTTCAAAATGAGAACTTAAAGATGGGACCGATTGATGTTAAAATTGAATTGAAAACTTCAGATAAAATGCCGGCAAACACTACTGCTTGTTGTCTTATATTGCACGATCGATTAGTCGAATTCACACCTTTAACTGGAGAAGTTAATAAAAAAATTTAAAAATTTAATAAAATTTAACATTACAGTTTAAAATAAAGAATAAAATTCAGAATGGAATCCGTTATCATTGATATACAGGGCTTCCGAGATAATAATAATAAATTTATATTAAAAGAAGTTGCTATCCTTTCATCAGATGATGAAATACAGCATTTTATTATAAAACCTCCGTGTGGATATCACTTACTTATATCTAAAACTAAAAATATAAATAATTGGCTAACAAAAAAACATTTTTCTACAAATAAAACTGCTCACGAATATTAAGACAGAAAAAATTCAAAAAGTTTCATAAGCAATTGATGGGGCAAAAAATATAAACAGAAATAAAACATTGGAAAAACTGAAATTGCTCTAATGTTGGAATACTTGTATTTCCGAAAGTAGATTGAATTGGATGAGATTAACAACAAATCGCATTTGGTCTGAGGCCCCGCCTCTTCGCGATGGGTTTTTTTGCATGAATAAAGCACAATAGTTCTTTTCCTTGCTCTTTACGTATCTATCTTCTCTATCTTACGTATTCTATCTTCTTTGCCAAATGATGAGCGAATTCCTTTGAAATTCGGCGGAGTCATACTTGGTACCTTGTATCTCCTCCTAAAAATAACTTGTTTTGTGGTTTTTTGTGGTTTGGTAGTCACCCCAACCCAAGAGGCTAGGATTAGGGCTCTTTGCACCAACCGATTTAGAACTTCAAGCGATTCAGTACTTCCCAGCTTCATCTAGTGTCAATTCATAAGACATGCCAGTTATCGATTAATTCCAAAGAAATGGAAAGAGCACGCCCTATTGCGGGATAGCTCTGCCAAAGGGGCACTTATTGCATCAACCAAGTCCTGTTGGTTCTTCCTGACAGCATGTTTTCCATCAGGGCATTCGGTGACCTCTGAATTGAGAGCTCTGGCAGCACGTCATTAATAGCCCGCTGATGCAACTCCGAAAGTACATTAATAACAAAATAATTTGGTATATTAGGGTATAATCGGAAAGTAGTCGATTCAGCATCGATGTGCACATCGATTACATCACAATGTAAATATCATGTACGAAAACGCATCAAAACTGTTATACTTCAAAGTTTGGTGTCCAAAAATGTCAAACGTACGCATTGTATGGGTATAGTGTTAAATCAGCTGTGCATAATTTTTTTTTGTGATTTTGTATTGATGCAAAGTTTTTTAAATGGAAGCTGAAAAGTAAATAATTTATCATTTTAACTTAATAACTAATAAAGTTAATTATTTCTTTATGCACGGTTTTAATATTTTTAAATGCTCCGTTATATTTAAATCTTCAAAATCTAATTGAAATTAAAAAACTTTTTTCATAGACTTTCAGTTGTTAATAATTTAAACACTTTTACACAAAATCTTTTCAGAATAAACGCCAAAAAAACATATGATATAGAAAGTGTCCAAAAATGTCGGTGTAGCATCAGCAACATTTTTTCACGTTGACGCTGCATTGATGCACATTTTTGATTACTTTTCGATTATACCCTTATTTTTTCATATATTGTACATAATTTTCATATTGCTATAAAACCTTTTTAATCTAGTTTTTTGCGATTTCAATTAATATAATATTTTTATTTCCAGGAAAAGTTATGGCTGAGAAAAATAGAATAAGAAAAATACTAAGAAGATTTAATATACTGAAAACAAAAAATTCAAAATTCAACAAAATTATTGAAGAAAATAAAAAGGGAAGTAAAATATCAGTACAAAAAGAAATAAAATTTAAAAGAAATGAGCTAGCCAAGACATTACAAGGAGTATGGTCTCTTTTCTCTTATATATTACCTATTGTAACTTTGGTATTGAGGAATGCTTCACATGTCGCTGGTGAAGGAAATGTTGGTAAGTACATTCGTGTATACTATGCAACTGATTACAATTTGCTTCAAACGATATGTTTTTGTAATCAAATTGTAATGTACAGCTTAAGAAATAAGAACATTATATTCCAAAAATACGCGATAGATTAGATATTTTTCAATTTTTTGTTAGTAATTCTGTTACAGTTTTAAGATATTTATTACAAATCTTCAATAAATTTCAATGCAGGATGCGAGAGTAGTATTTCCAAGCAGAAAATTATGCCTTGTTGTTACTAAAAACACTTTTTTTCAAGCAATAATATAACCGCGACATATGTGCATCCGCGACATTTTTAGGATGTAAGAGATTTAATTTTCGAATTAGGTAATGTTTCTATCATTTTTTCACTTTTGTTAAAAAATATTGCAAATATATGTTCATAAAAAAGTCAAAATGCCCTTTTTGTCGGAAATCCTACAATTCTATTTATAACATTATAGAAATTGTTTTCGACACAATTTCTTTCGTACGTTTATACAAGATATTTTCTTATTAGTAGAAGTGAACTTAGTAGGCTCTGCATTACAGATTGTCTTTTTGAGTCTGAACTACTTTACACATTATAATTTTTCACATCCGAAAATATTGTACGGTATTATAATATATACATATTTTTACAAAAATAACGGTTCACAAAAATGTCAGCTTTTCTTTTTTACCGACCGTATTGTGTATACAATACGTGGGTTATGTAATGGCAAAAATTTTTGCATATCGAGTTTTCGGTGGGAACGTACTTCTCCATAGTAGGGAAGTGTAAGTAAACTATTTTTGGCAACCTGTCGGTCCGTCGGTCTGTCGATCTGTCGGTCTGTCGGTCTGTGTGTGCACGCGTGTTTCTCAAGTTCGGCTGAACCGATATTGATGAAATTTTATATGTAAGTTTATTTCGACCATGGCACCGATTGATCAACTTTTGGGATATATCAGGCCTCGAGAACTGCACTTTTTAGCGGGCCTGTTTTACATTTTTGAACATTTTGAAGAAAATATTCAACCAATTTACTTGAAATTTTATATATAAGCTCAGCTCGACCGTCCGTAAAAATTCGTATGTTTTGGAAGAAATCAGGCATCAGCAGGTAGGCGTTTACTACGGGCCAAATATACATTTATGTGTATATAAAGAGAAAAAATCAACCGATTTCATTGAAATCTAAAATTTAAATTCTTCATATTAAAACAATGAACATATAAATTTTTTGGAAAGATTAGGCCTTGAAAACTGATCTGCGGGCCGATTTTACATTTTTCACCATATCTATCGGAACGAATTGATAGAATTTCTTGAAATTTGATATTCGAGTTCTGGTTGTTACCGAAACTAACTGGCGAGCATCGAGGGAATTCAGGTAACATAGAGCGAAATTCTACTAAGAGCCCAATTTACATTTTTCTAGGTATGTTAACTATAAGCTTACTAATGACCTAAAAATTGGAAATAAGTATTTAACAGACATTTTTATAATATTCTGTAACATTTTCACTTAACTAGACTCCATCAGATTTTTTAACTATTGTGGTCAAAAATTAATAATATTTGATATCTGTAGCATTTAAATTCAATAAAAATTAGTGACAATTTTTAGATTGTTTACATTTTATTAAGCCCTTTAAAATCTTGACTTTTACACAAAATTGTGGGGATGAAAAAAATTTAAAAAATACAAAGTTCCGAATGTACATAAAATAAAAAAAAATATATATTGTTATCAAATCCTTTACTAGCACTTTCACTTGTTCTGAAGCCTTGAAATATCTTGTACCCTGAAAATATCTTGTATAAACGTACGAAAGGAAACTCTTCATTTAAAACCTTTATCTTTTTCGGAAGGGAAGTTATAAGCAAAAAAGCTAGGATAACTAAAAATTTCGTGAAAATTCTTTAAAATCCCTGTATTTCGTTGAGTTTTGACAACTACTTCCATCCAAACATTTTACCCATTTTCGATGCCCTAAACAATGATATATAATATTGTACTTTTTACTGAACCAGTATATTGTATGCTCATTACTTTTGATTTCATAAAAATTTATAAAAATACTTTATTGTTGAAATTACTAAAAGAAAACTTGTTTTCTAAGTTTAGCTTTTTTTACAAATCCTGTTTTTGTAGATAAGAGCGTACGACTTACAATTTTATGCATTACGTTAATATATATTTTAATTCTTTTGCAAAGAAGAAAATTCATATATAACATTAAACAACATAAAAGAACATTCAACATAAGTTATAATTACAAACTATGGGTAACTAAAACTTATTCAATGAATCATAGAATGTTTCTAGTTTGTAAAATGTACCACATTTGAAACGAAAAATTAAGGCTTTCATGTTGGCACACACATTGGATAATGTGTCTATTTTGGCTTATTTTGTGTGATTTTGGATACAAAAAAGGAAATATGTGTTTTAAGTCACTTTTTAGGGAAACCACATTCAATGGCGGAGATAAGTTTTTTCTAAATTATGAAAATTCTCAAGTTAAAAATCTTAAATTATTTCTTTTGTTAAACAAACATTTTGAGTAGTTCTATTGTTATTTTTCTTTCTAAAATTCAATATAATGCTATTTTTAAGGTTTAAAATAAAAATTTGTTTCAAAATGTTATTCTTTTATCAAATTTTTTGAATAAAAAAAAAAATATTCAAGTTTTAAGACAGGGCTCGTATTTTTAAAAAGTATTTTTCAAAACTAGTCATTTGAACTAGACATTTAAAACGATTGAATTTTAAGTTTTCAATGGCGCCCCTATTTTTTATCGCCCATTGCAAATACTTTATCATACTTTGCATGTATGATAAATCCGGGTCTGTCTGTACGCCTGTAATTAAACTTGATTGACGCAATTACTAACACGATTTCCAAAATATGTTGCTCCACTTTCGCTACATAGAAAACCCTCAAACACATAGGTAACGATGTTTCAGTTTAGAATCATTTTTGACTACATAGCGCTGCTACACCGCAAATGTGGTCGGAAATTTCTTGTTGGATAACAACTTATTTAAAGGAAGTCCAATATAACATTGATTCATATCCATTTTTTCGCTCTTAAATAATCACTTTGCATCAGAGGCATCAAAAATTTATTGGGTTAATCAGGAAACGAGAAATTTAAAAAAAAATCCTAACATTTTAATTTTCATATTCTTATTTAGAAATTAAGGCTTCAGTCACTCATGAATATAGCTGCTTTTTTATAAGAACGAAATGATTTTAAAATTATGTTGTTGAATATCTAATAGATTTAAAACTGTATAAATATACTTTAAAAATTATGTGAACCGATTGACAAGACATGAAACTCTAATAAAATCAAGATTATTTAAATTTTAATCTGGCCATTTTTTCAACGACAATTTTCTTTGGATGTTTTAATGATTAAATTAAGATTAAAATGATTAAATTTAGATTTAAACACCTACATATGTGTAAATATATGATTAAGTTTAATTATAATTTTCTAAGAAAGAGCAATTTAATTATATGTGCATATTAAGAGTACAACTATATACATATACATATATATATAAACAGGCACATTGTGAGTACACACGAGGATTCAAAAATGTATACAACAACATATACTACTGGTTAGGGGATCGAAAGTCGGTAAAACTTTTGTTCCGGAATTGGAGCCAAATCTCAAGGTTTTCCCAGATACAGGGATTTTAACGAATTATCACAAAATTTATACTAGCCCAAGTTACCAAAAAAAATGAAAAAACTAATTAAAATAAAGTTATAGCTGCTCAACAATTGTATACATATGTTACATATATTGCGATTAATTTATTTTTGAGAAACATGAGAAAAAAAAGAAAATTTTGAGAAGCCATCATTTAAAAATGAGAAGATTTAAATTTGTTTTATTAAGCAATAAAATTAAAGAACCATAATTTCGAATCGAAATAATTTATAATTATTTTGAAACAATAAATGTGTAGAAGAACAGTACACTTCAGAGTTTTAAAAAAATATTTTATCGTGGTGACAGGTAGAAATTTTAAAATAAGTGTTGTTTAATAAGTTTTGATGCCGCGAATATGAATACTAAATCGCAATGAACTCTCGCAAATTGAAAACTCATCATCAAAAAATGCTCTAATAATTAATAAATGTGAAGACTTGAAACACAAGCCTCTTACTAATTGGAATTTCATAGAGGCACGCCCTAAATTTCATAGGAACACGCTCTCATATAAATGAAAGATGTGTGAAGTTAACTCAATGGAAATTTCTTCATGATATTTCAAAAAAATGAAATTTCAAAAGTGCAGATAAGATGGAGCACATAATCAAAAGAACGAGTTAAAGGCAGAAAAATTAACAAAAACATTGTCCTAGACCTATCACTTTCTACACAAACGCTCTTACTAACTGAGGTACAGAGGTATGAAGAAATCGCCAGCAAATTTTCTTCAAATTGCTTTATACTGTAATCCACATTATTACCAAGTATTGTTTACATTAAACAAAATTGCATTGAAAAACCAATATTTTGTTCGAAACACACAATTGCAAATAAAAGATTTCATGTAGCTTCTCTTGTACATTAGTAAATCCATTTTCGTGAAATTTTTCGTGATTTTTTAAAAAAAAAATTCCAAAAAAAGAAAAACTCTGACTTTGGCGAGCGTTTCTGGAAAACTGTGGCTCAAATCAAATTTATTGGAAGATTGAAAGTAAAGAACATTACTCAAACGAAGCTATAGCCATTTATCTATATGCAAGAAAAATTTGGTAACCTTTTTTCAATACGCTGTATCTCAAAAACTGGTGTATCTGCACTTCTATACAATTTTTGCTAAATTAAAATTCTAAAAAATATGTACATAATATGAAAAATAATTAGATTTTAATATCGTTAATATACTACATTTACTGCAAAATGTAGATAATACTTTTGTTTGTTCTGCTTTGCTTATATGTTTTTATACGCTACAAAATTTTTATACCCGTACGAACGTATG